TTAAAATAATGTCACTTCATTGCTGCACCGTCACCAGCACCAGCTCAGAGGTGGTAATGTGAGAGACATGACCCCCCCACAGCTCCACAGGAAACCCAACTCTCATGGGTAACGCAAGCCAGCGAGGGAGCAGAGGAGCATGGAGACAAATCCGGCTCACGGCTTCTTTAATTTGTCTGTGGTTCAGGAGCAAAATGAAAAAGGAGGAAGAGCAGCAGAGAGAGTTTAAGAGGACGAAGAAGGAGACAAGAATTTCATTAGGTTGAGTGACTGAAAACAAGAAGCAACAAAGGAAGGAGGGAATGAAAACGTGACTGTTGTTGGTCATTCAGGCGAAACATCTCTTCACCTCGACAACTTTGTGTCCGTGTGAGAAAAAGTCAGGGACAAAGAGTGAAATGGGAAAAAACTACGTAGAAATGACTGGTGCACTCGCAACGAGGCTGATTTTCAAACTCATTCTTATCAGTGTGAGCAGCAGCAGGAGGTGGAGGAGGAGGAGGTGGTGAGGTCCTGTGCAGGTGACCTAGATATGTGGGGCAGAACCCCAGAGGTGGCACACCCCTCGTCTATCGGCCCCTCACGCTCCCTGTTATCAGTCGAACACGCAGACGTGTTATTCAGGAGATATCGAGGGAGCAGCCGCCAAACAGCTCAGGCGCTTCAAACACAACGTGAAGGATTCTGTCTGAAAGATCTCACTCATTACACTCTACTAAATGATTAACGACATCCTGTAGCTGTGATTTATATATCACACGTTTGATTTGCATTTATTTATACTGTTTTTGTTTGTTTCATTTAATTAGTTTTTACTGATTCACTGTATCAGTTTTGGGATTTGTTAAACATTTCTTAATTCAACTTCTATTCATTTAGTTTTATGTGTTTTTTCTTCTAATAGTTATTTATAATTATACAAATGATCTTCAGAATCATTGCCAATATTTTTACATATATGGAAAAAAATATATTTTACCTAATAGTAAATCGTCTGTATTTATAAAACTATTTTCTAGTCTTGATGACGCGTGATCTTGATTCAGTCACATCTGCCATCACATCAGCCAGCCTCTGAAGGAACCATGATACCGTCACACCTCCAAACTAAACTGGACAATCCTGTTGCTCCTCTGATCCACACGAGGAAATGTTTCCTTTCACCTGCCTTGAAGAAGATTCATTGAGAGAGGGGAAAGTTCATGAAAGTCAGGAAGACGATCCTTCACCGGCTCCCCACCGTTCAGGGGAATGCGTAACCGACCCAGAGGTACCACTCGAGAGCGTGGTTTTATGTCTCTGTGGCCGAGGCATGTCCACGAGGACTCTGTCCCCATCCGTCCGTCCATCCATTCCACTCTCTGGGAATATCTTCAAATTTGGTACGAACACGAGGACGAGCTGATTAGATTTAACGGTCAGAGGTCACAGGTCACCGTGACCTCACTCTCATGTGATATGAAATGCTTTGAGGGAATCTCATTACAGCTGGAAATGTCAAGAATGAACTGATTGTATTTTAATGGTCAAAGGTCAATGTGACCTCACAAAACATGCTGAAGAACGAATACCCCGATGATGACCATCAGCCACATCAGGAGTAATTAATCAACGACATATGAGCAGATGATAAACATGCGTGTGTGGCGGTGGACGGTTTGTAATGACCCTCAGGGTAATCGTTGTAAATATTGGTTCAGCAGGAGCCTGACCCTGCAGTTAACAGGGATTATCCCATGAGCTCATTAAAGGTAGAGCTGCAGAACGTCAGACTCTTCACACGAAACGCAGCGTCGCACTGATGCAGGAGAAGCTTCACAAGATTTGAATTATTATATTAATGATATTTTATATTCCTGTTTGTAAATTGTGATCTTGTGACTGTGGTGGATTATTGATATTATTGAGAATTTGAGAAGATGCTGCAGATGCATGTGTGTCGAGTGGGGAAGATTTTTTATCACCGATGTGGGAAATGACAAATTTTAAGGTTAAATCTGGATTTGAGATTAAAATAAATGTGTTTATTCTCCTCATGAGAAACTAAATAAAGTGGCTCCACTTCCCAAATATTTGAATTTCTTTTACATTGTTTATCATCATCAGTGTGTTTTCATGGATTGACATGTGAAAACACTGTTGTTGATGTTTGAGACAAATATCCTGACAAATATCCAAATATCCATTCCTCTGCAGTCGCAGCCGTAACACTCTGTTTATACTATGCATTTTTAATTGGAGATAATTACAGTCTTATAAACGTTTGTTATTCCCAGATGAGTTTTGTGCTTTAGATTATTGACTGAAACGTCTGCAGGGGAAGTGAGTGTATATAAGTCAGAGTCATACACAGGGTGAGTGATGGTCAATATGTCTTGAGGACAGACAAACAACATACAAAGGATTCGGCCCCGACATGTAATTAAATTTGTTCAGATCTGATCCGTCTCACGTCTCACGTGTGTTGAAACTTTTATTTCCCAATCAAACAATAAGGGAGGATAAACTAAATCACACTTTTGACACAACAGACTTCACATCTGTCGCATACTGAGAAGTGGATGTTTATATGAAAGTCCAATGAAGACAGAGGGCAGGAAATAACGGAGGAAATCTTCTATTGAAGTGTTTACATGGAGCCTTTCTTACTCACAGGTTAAAAACTGCCCGGCGCTAAGTGGACGGCTTCATGAATAGGTTCTTTGAGCCGATGACTCAATTCTGAACGAGGAGTTTAGCACCAGAGGCAGATATGACACGTCAGTGAATTTCCTTTTGTGTTTTATCTGTACATCAGTGTTTTTAAAAGAAACAAAAGTAAACAGGAAACAACTCTGATCAAGTTCACACTGACGATTAGCCACAAGGAACTAACCACAAACACACATATTCACACAATGTTTTCTTTTCATGTGCTTTTCTTTCAGGCATCTTAAACATCTGAATAATTAAAAGGATATACTTGAGACAGAAATGCAGACTTGTAAATTTACAACTCTGCATCACTGTCCTGTTGCGTCGCGTACTGCAGCGGTGAGCGTTATGTCGGCCTCCTCCTCTCACTCCCTCAGCCTTCTCAGTCTTCTCACAGATTATGGCTGAGTGCGTGGTTCCTGTCGCCTTAATATATGTCACCCGCCTGACATGCTCGATTATGCAACGAGCTGCAGCGCTGGTCAGGAGCCTGAGGGGTAAAAATGTGTAACACGTTGACCGTGGTGTGTGTCAAATCTGTGTTACGCGCTGACCGCAAAGATTCAGCCCAAATGTGTTCGCCTTCACTTTACATGCTCAATAAAATCCATTCAAACTCACTAATATAGACGTGTTGGGACTGTCTGACCTTCACGGACGCTCGTGCTGCAGAATGAATGACCAGTGTCCTTTGTTATTTTCTCATTAATTTGTGAAGGCATGTGCTGCAGGAGTAAAACATGCAAAGAAGCGTGGCCACATCTGTGTTACATGACGGCAGCCAGCAGGAGTTCTCCAGCTGTCACAACAACCAATGAGATGAGACGATGCAACACAAAGACAGCGCTGGGGAAGCTGCACTGAAACGGCAACAGGGGATGAAGGTGATCGATGGGAGTCGGGTGAATAATTCAGCAGCATGGATGGTTTGTGCAGAGAACCACTCCAGAAGAGTGATTTTACCTTAGCAACCATGAGCTAGCCTGGAAACATGCTGGTGCCACCGTTTCTGTTTGCATCAATGTTAACGTAAAGCTTTTTTTACAACAAAATGAATTCAGAGGAGATTACTACGTGTCTGGGATGGTGATGGGGATTTTGCACTTAAACTACTATTTTACTATTAGTTTATGCTCAGTCTTTAGTTGGTTTTAATCTGGATGATAACAGAATCGTTTAAGACGAAGCAATGACGTGGTTAGATATCATGTGTTTCTCGATGGAGGGGGGGCCAGGTCCTACCTGTTGCCTTCATGGTCCCTTGAAACGCTCCTGCACATCACTTAATCGTCATCTCAAAACAATTTCCTCTTGTATTACACGTGAAGACACACTGTTTGAAAACAGGATGTGCTAGCATGGTCTGACTGTTAACGCTACAATGAGCTATTAGAACAATGCTGTTTATTTATTTTCCCTCTGCAGGTTTCATCAGTCAGGATGTTTGACCTTTGCCCTCTTTAGCTCAATTATTTGTATGTAGCTTGTATGTAGACTGAACTGAACTGAACAGTGAGTTCCAGGAAACGACGCACATGTGTAAGGATTTTTAGTTTTATAAACTAAACTAAATGATTCTTCCTCAGTGACTGAATCCAGGCGGTTCTGACCATTAGTCTCCTGTTCTGTTCCGCTGCCACCAATTAATTGACCTTGTGGATCGACTGGTTCTAAAAGTTTTCCACGAGCAGATACGATTGATCCCATGTGCCCTTAAACTTTTCCATTCAGGTTTGTATCAAAGTTTTGTTATACAGTTTGTTATTGACTCAGACTGGGTTGGACAGACAGACGGGTCAACAGTCGATAGCTCTTATTTCTATTGATATGTTCTGGCACATGTGCAACATTTGGGCGAGTGAGGGCACACAGGGGCTGAGGATGTTCTGGGGACAGGTCCAGTGTGCTGAAGCCAGATTTTCCTGTTTATAAAACACAGAGAATCTCAAACCAGCTGAACAACACCCACCCTGTAGCAGAGGAGCAGGAGAAGTTGTGTTGATTAGAATTTGTCTCGTCTCTGCTGAGGGTTTATAGGCGAGGTGAGAAGTCAAGAAGTGACATGTGGCTGCTGATTAAAACGCTTCAGTGCACTTAGGTGTTAGTTAGCTCGCTGGTGGTATTTTCTCATCACATGATGAGGAGAGATTCTCGTTCAACATCTGATCAGTTTTGACGATTCTTCATCTCACACAGAAGTAAATTATAAAAGGAGAAGGGGTTGTTTTTAAATTGGGATTCTTTTTCTCATAGACAGAAAAATGTAAGAAAAACAAGCAAAACATGAATGAACACAGAAAACAGAGGATAGTCATAAAATATATTTATTCAACTAGTAAAACGTCCACTTCCGAAATAGACAACACATACTCCTGGGACGGCCTCAACAGAGATTGGCATAAGGCTTTTTTTTCTCTCTTTTTTAGCACAAATTACAATCTTTCTGGAAAAACATCATCTTGGTCTTCAATGTTTCAGAAACGCTCGCAGCGACAAACCTCCAGGTCCCGATGTGGAAGGGAAGCTATTGTTAATTATTCTCCTACAAACAAGGCCTGACACCAGGCTGACACTTTAATCTGTTGGCAGGTTCTTTTCTTCCTTGGCTGTCTCGGCAAGGGCGACTCCTTCCTTGGCTTTGTGCATTAGCCTCTATGGCGTTGCCCACATGGCAACTGTGCGTTTTAAGCATTAGCACGCAACACACTGGGATTTCAAAACAACACATGAAGGGATTTTTTTTTTTTTGTTACATTTTGAAAAGGGAGGGTCAATCCTCTCTGTTGTTATATTATCAGAGCATCAAAAATGCAAAAGAGCTTTTGGTTGCAGAAAACATAATTTAGGAAATACTTTAAGACTTATTTTGCATAACCTTTCAGGCTAAAACATCATAATATTAAAAACACAACATGGGATGACAAACACGTGATAGATTTAGAGATTAGGCTGCAGTCACAGAAATATGCTGTTGTCAGTAGCTCGCACTGGTCTGTCCTTGTGTCCTCTGTTGCCTGGATTGGAATCAATAAGCAGGTCAGTGCCTATAGGCAGCGTGTCTGCATGAGACTGCACGTGCAATGTGCCAGAGGGGGATTTTCTGCGTCAATCGGTCGTGATGGAGGCGGCAGCGGCGTTTTATTAAGCTGCTGTGATGCAGAAGCTGGCAGTCCGTCCGATTACAGACGGACTGGCTGCGGGAGTGTGTGTGTGTGTGTGTGTTCACCCTCCTCCTCACAGATGGTGATATACTTTCATCCTCCCTGGCCACTGCAACGAGCTCCTGCTTTCTGCCTCCCAGTGGCTCCAGAGCACAATTCAGGCTTTACATTTTATCTTTGTTGCATGACACAAAAACATTGGCACCAGATGCAAAATCCTGGTAAACGTGTAGCCTCCACCATGAGGTGTTTGTTTTAATAAATTACAACAGGCTGGCTTATCACACAAATAGAGGTGTAAATCCTCCAGGGGCTCGAACTCACGGCTACACCGGCCCCAGCACCGAAAGCCGCTGGGCAACAGGAAATTCACTTTTCAAGATAGGACGGAGAGAGATATGTGTGCTTTGTGGCTCACTGCATCCAGAGGTAACTCTGACTAAAGGGAGGGGGAAGGGAGGGAGAGGGCACAAAAGGGCAACTAAAGGGGGAGGGGCTTTATTTGAAGGAAGCGCGGACACAGCGACCCTTGAGCGGCTGGGGAGGGCGGTAGTTGTCCACCATGCAGCACTCGGACTCACCCTCAGCGGAGAAGAGCAGGCTGCGGAATTTGGCCATCTGTGGACAGGAGAAGACGGACAAGGCTTAAGTCATTCCTGGGGACCTCCTGTGACTGTCACTCACACAGCTCTGAGTCACCAGAACAAATCCACAACCAGCGTTTCACAGTTGTATTATTTATCCTGCTGATGATCTTTTAAAATCTGCACATAATGTAAAGAGAAACCAAGTCGCTCAGCTAATGGTTTCTTATCAGACAAAAGATAAAATAGTACGAGCGCAAATCATTTTACGACGTTCATATAATCTATTCACTGAGGATTTTTCTAGAGCAATTTCTTTCTGTAAGTTTGGTTTTAATGTGTTCTTTGATACTAAATAAATAACTGGCATAACTTGACCCAGTCTCTGACTAATGAATTAAACCATGATAATTACACACACACTAAAGGCTACTCAGTGAGAAATACTTCAGATGGAGGGTGTTTCCTCTCACAATCACTGATATTCTATGTTTCCTCCAGTAATGTTTGACCTCTCACTTGACTGGCCTCATATGGAACCAGGTCTGAAATGTGTGTGTGTTCCTCGTGTTTTCCCCTGAGACGTCCACCGGCTGCAATGAAACAAGCATTTGACCGAGCAGGGGCGGAAACTTTCCGACCACAAGGACAAACCTGACTAGAGAGGTTGTTAGGTTAAATTACCGGGTGCTTAAAAGTCACATACGTGAGTAGGTGTAAATTTTAGGAGTACATACTTCACAAATACAGGTTAAATGTACCAGTATACTGAGCGTACTTATCTGTCGCATCTCTATCTGTGCATATTCTCACCTACAGAATGTGATGCATGTGTGGGACAAACACTTCCTGTTAATGCAGAGGTGAGACAACACCAGCCTCTGTGGTTACTTTAGTTTCTATGGTGGTCATTCTAAAAGTGAAATAAAATCCACTGCACTCCCTTTCCCACCATCACAGACGTTTCAGCTGAACAATTAAACCCTTGATTCAGATGGCGGAGGATTTGCAGACGGGCTATTCTAGACCGTGGGCACACGGCCAATCCCTTCGCTGCACCACCAGATGGGCATACCTGCTCGGCGCTGATGCTGATTGGCTCTTTGCAGACAATCCAGGTGACGCTCTCCAGCAGAGGGGGTGTGGTCAGAGAGCCGTCGTACGTCCAGTAGTCCAGGCAACCGGGGAGGAGGGTGGCGGGGTCGAAGTTGGCGAAGGTGGTCTGCTTGCCCTGAGGATAAAACAGAAGGTGATGAAGAGGTCAGTCACATTTCTTATGAATAACATGGATGAGAATATGTTACTTTCATGAAACATACTTTGGCCTTGATGGAACTAAAGGCGTCAAGAACCTTCTGGAGGTTGGCGTTTTCAGCTCCGATCTGGAAAATGCAACAACCATTAGAAAACAGTATTGTGTATTGTGGTGATTTTATTATTTACACTGTGATGGAAGGAAGTAAATCAAAGTAAAACAAATGTGTGAATCGTTCCGACAAACCTTCAGGAAAACTCCGACGACTGCGAGTCCATCAGGTTTGCTAGCGGCTTCTCCGAAGCTCCCATATTTGGTGTTCCAGTGCACGAGATGCAACTGGGAAGGAAAGGAATGGATAAGAAAAAAAATAAATACATGGATAAATAAAAAATAGATAAGTAAGTAAAACAAATGGGTTGATGGGTTACTAAGATTTGGATTTCTTTTTGTTTTAAAAATGATTTGGGGGCAGAAATGTGAGGAAAATAACTTGTGACTCAAAAACATTTTCTCAAATTTGAGGCCTTTTCTCCACCCAGCAGGATTTAACCCTTAATCTCCTTTGTTCTTGAGACATGAGCATCCTCACCTCAGCAGGATACATGGTCCCGGCCACTGTGTGTTCTGAGCCCCTCTCGTCACAAGCTCCCCAGTGGAAATGAAACTGCTTGAGCCTGTAGACTCCAGAGATCGGCCCATCTTTCAGAGCTGCAGACAGAGAGAGAGAGAGAGAGATGATAAAGCTTTCCATCAGCTGAGCGTAGGCAGCGCTGCGGTGAGCAACACTGTTACTCAGTGATGGCTCCTCCCTTGGAGAACATAACAAAAAGGAAATATCTTCCTGAACAGAAAATATGAGAATACCAGGAATACAAGATGAAGTGAGAACACATGCACACGTGTCACTATGGCAGACTTCCTATTACATGGCAGCAGATTCTGTTCCTGTTGTGTAAGCACTGCTCAAACATGGAGTCTGAAATGATGTCCAGGTATTGTTGATGCCAGTGTTACACAATCTATCTATTCACAGATTAAACAGTGCTGGACACAGTAGCAGATAATCCTGTATACTGTTCTATTTCTGGTACACACACACACACACACACACACACAC